AAAAAAAAAAAAAAAGGAGTATTGGTTGTTATTTTGGCCCTTCCATTAGCAGGACCCATGGTATCGGTCTTGGTAATCATCAGTGATCCCTAGCCAGAGGGAATCCTTGGAACCCTAAAGCTCCCAACCCAAACCTTAAATTCGAACCCCTCACCCGCGACTCGAAACCTAAACCCTAAACCCCAANNAAACCCCAAACCCTAAACCCTTTGGATAGTTCTTGAATGGCTTGCGTGAGGACCTGTGTGGTCAGGGAAGTTCCGCGGATGGCGGGATTGAGAGACAGGTCATTTTTGGAGCTCTGTTGATTAGGTGAAGTAGGTTATGAGTTGAGGAGTGCAGTAGTGAGTGAGGAGCGACAGTTGTTGACTGGTCCAATTAGGTGCAAGACTGCCTGTTGTAGAGCACAGCTCCGACGGGAGTTGCTTAAGCTGCGGTGGGGGAATTGGTGGTTAGTGGTTGGTGTGGGTTGGTGAGCAGCAAGCAACAGCCTCAGCCAACTTGGCGTTCGACCTAACTAACCAGGCAGGTGGAAAAGAGGTGTCAAAAAAAAAACCCTAAACCCTAAACCCTAAACCCCAAACCCCAAACCCCAAACCCTAAACCTTAACCTCAAACCCCCATCCGAAACCCTAAACTCCTGCAGTTTCTGTTCCTCCTGGGTCTTCTGAAGCCTCTGTCCGACATCAAGCGCGAGCCGAGGCTGTGGTTTAGGGTTTAGGGTTTAGGGTGTAATAAGATGCAATACGACAATATAATCCCTCGAAATTATACAGTATGTTATATTATGTTTTACTTTGTGTGGTGGAGTTGCGTTGGAGCCGTAGGATCGATATAGGGTCGAGGCTGGAGTGTCGGGGATTTCTAGCTATCACAGTTGATGGACAAAATCCTGCATGACCCAAATATAGTATGGTACCACAAATCCCATAGTTATATAGTATAGTACCACAAATCCCATAGTTTAGGTATATAAGGTCATGCAGGATTTTGTCCATCAACAGTAGTTCAGAGCTTGAGGTTTGGGTTTGTTTCAGACCGAGCTCTGCCTTGGGCTTGGGAGTTGATGCTGAGTTGACCAGCAGATGTGACCCCTAAACCCTAAACCCTAAATCCTAAATCCTAAACCCTAAACCCTAAGCCCTAAACCCTAAACCCTCAACCCTAAACCCTAAACCCTAAACCCTAAACCCTAAACCCAAACCCTGCTCCTGTGATTGGAGTTGTCGTCGACACTGTCCATGCTACGACGCTCTGAATCTGCTCTTTTTGTTCGCACTTGACTAAGACGCACTGCTCGCGAGTCGTGATGATAACTCTGCCGAAGGCGAAGTCAAGGCTTATGCTTGCTGCTGCTACTATTGAGGTCCCGATGTTGTTGCTGCTGCGTCGGTTTCTGTTGACGACGATGGTAACCGCAATGCCGATATGAGTTCTGAGTACATGCTCATATTGTTAGGCTTTAAGTTGTTGAGGCTTGGTATTGGTGGACAGGATGCATGTGGTCTTGGTAGCCGTGGTGATGACGAGGACGGTGCTGCTGTCGTTGAGCCGCAACAAATACGTAACATATCCCTGAGCCCATAAAGCCTCGACGCGCAAAGCCCCTAACGGAGGATAGATTGTTCGGAGAGCCTTCAGGATTCGTTTTGGTGTCATTAGGGTGAGGAGGTGACGTAGTGAAGTGGAGGGTGTAGACGTTCAAATACGAGACTACACAGCTAGCAAAAAGCCGGAACGCATTGTAGAGGAAGCATTTGGGGTTTAGGGGGACATAAGTATCGTCAAGCTGTTTTTGTCCGGCTTGGCCAGTTCCCTGGCCTGAACGAACGTCCAGTGAAGCTCAAGCAACCCTAGCTGCCCAGAGCTACGCGATACACCCCAAAACGCTAACGTCCATCACTACAACCCTAAACTCAAGTACCTTTCCACCGGACCCTTCAGCTTCTATAAACCCCAATGCCACAGGATGGATGTGTTCATATATTGGCCTAAATAATTACCAATACTATTTTTGGGGGCTCCTTATGATTATAATATAATCATAGTATAGTATACCCCAATACCTTCTTCTAATTATCAAGGCCCCTATAGACTTGTGAGCCCAAGATCAGGTCGGTTTGATGTTGACTTCCTACTTGCACCGCTTGATATAGGGCCTCAAGAATTACCTCAACTACTTTGGGGGCTCCTTGTTATAATTATACTATAAAGAACCCCAAAACCCTCTTCTATTTTTTAGGGCCCCTAAATAAATTAGGACAACCAGACGCAAAGACTCAACACCATGTATTTCCAGCAGAAAGCTTATGACACCTCAAGGTTTGTTTCATCGTTAGGAGCCCATCACCAGAAACTGCACCAGCAAGAAGACGAAGTAGACTCAGGGGGTTGGGAGATTTGTAAAGTCTGTAGAAAACCCTCAAAAATCTCAGTTTCAAGCAGGCCCGAAACCCGATAAGCCCTACAAGCCTTTATTGCGCTTGCAACGCCTTGAGCCAGGGCGGTTCCATACTTCTGCGTCCTGAGTCTGTACTTCATCTACGTGGTGATGATAGGTGCCTCCTGAGTTTAGGGTAGCTTAGGGCTTTAGGGTTTAGGGCTTGGAGTTCCATTTTAGGGTTCCTCAGAGGAATCGTTCAAAGTCGCTTTATTGCTGGCTCTATGACTCCATGAGCTGTTTAGGGTTGAGGGCGGGGGATTGATGGTTTCAGGGTTGAGAGTTCAAGGCGCCCCTCTTGGCGCTTCGGGATCTTTGTTTTTTTGTCGGATTGATTGTCGAGGGCTTTCCACATGTGCGGGGTGGGGCACATCAAGCTGTGTTTGACCGAGAAACAGCCAAGCTCTACACTTTGAAACCCGCAGCGCGAAGCAGCCCCGCGCAGTTTCAGGCGCTTGGCCTCCAAACTACACTGTACATGGCCGATTCGAGACTTAGGGGTTGAGAGGGCATGATCTAGGAAATGTAGATCAGCCCTGCTTCGTGCCTATTGAACCCTTCGCCGTCGGAAAGCTTGTTATCCCAGCAGGACAGCCCACGGACCAAGAAAGTTCAGGCCACTGCCCCCAAAGTGTATTCGTAATATCTAGGCTCTATATGGCCCTTTATGAATCTCACAGCCTTCAGCTTGCATTCGATTGCTGGTTGAGGCTTTTGATGGACTCAGGGCGCTTCGGCTTCGTGTGGCTCGGAAAAAGCGCAAACCCTAAACCGCTTTAGGGTTTTGGGTCCGCGAAGGCTTCAACCTCAAACAGTAAGAACAAAGACAAACACAAGCCAAGGATAACTACAATAACGGAAGCAACAAAACCCAAGCCCCACTCCATAAACCCCAAGTCCAAACGGTCCTAGAACACGAAATTAACCCTAAAACTTTGACGCCTAAACTCCTGAAATCTTGAAACCCTACACACTAAACCCTAAAACCCTAAACCCTAAAATGTTGCCAGGTCTCCCACCCTTGGATTTCTCCTGTCAGGCATGCCTTGGGACGATTCTGTCGGATGCTTGCAGTTTAGTTTTCAATGCCCAGACCTTCCAACATCCTTTCATTAAGGAATATAGCTTGAATCATGGTAGGGATCCTTCTCTAACTCAGGGTATATGCCTTATTTAAAGGATGTTGCATGGTCTTGGCTTAGGAGCCTCAACAACTGGAATCGGGTTCTTTTAAACGGTTAGCGGTTTACCTGACAGGGCCCTACAAGGGTTCTATGGCATGTCGTATGCTTTGAGTGATGGCTAAGGGGTTCGGGGTTTAAGGCTTAGGGTTTTGGGGTGTAGGTTTGTGCAGGGTTTTGTACGGTTTTACACGGCCTCCATCAGGGTCTCGGTATCTGTGGGTTTTTAGGATTTAGGCGGGTTAAGCATGGGGTGTAGGGTCTAGCAGATCTGATGAAAGTTCATCCTTCAGATCCTTTAGGAAATGTGGGTCTCTGAAATTTTCGTCGGCGACCATTGCGGGGTCGCTCCGCGGCCGTGCCATGCGCCGCCTGGTCCTGCAGTCCCTACTTTTGGCCCGCCAACTCTGGTCTTGACAGCATCAGGGGCGAGACGGCGGCAGACGAATACATTATGATTCTTTTTGCATAAGCTACTATATACAGCTGCATTGTAATTAGAAGCGTTGTTTCTGATATGATGACGAGCACCATGGTTATTGTAGGGTAACGCTTGACATTGGCGCTTCTTCGCATTTTCTGTAAAGGCTCAAGACGGCCCTTAGTATTATCCTGAATATTCTTATCATGATCGTTTTTGCGATGATTACTCTTGTGATTATTGGTACTATTTTTTACTGGTATTGTTATTGCTGTTGTGGTATTGTTGTTTTGTGTTATCAGTATTGTTCGCTTGGAGAGTCACTCTCTGCTTCGGAATGTTTCACACAGCAAGCAAGTATGGTTTGGGGGTTTAGGGTTGGTTTAAACCCTAAACCCTAAACCCTAAACCCTAAACCCTAAACCCTAGGGTTACAGCAGAGTCAAGTAGCCCCTGTGGTGTTCAGGCCAAAGGTTGAAATCTGGCGCCTTGAGTCCCTGAGCGAAACCCTAAACCTTACACAGAAAAGCCCCGAACCCTACACCCTACCTATAGACCCCATAGTACCTCCTTTTTTGGGATTACCGAATAGGATCCTAAATACAAGCCACAAAAAGGAACTACTATGGGGCCTATGGGTAGGCAACCCTAAACCCTAAACCCTCAACCCTAAACCCTGAACCCTAAACCCTCAACCCTAAACCCTCAACCCTAAACCCTAAA